AATGACACATGACATAGTTGAACGCTGATTGTTGCTGTCGATGAGGTCATGATTAATTGTCCCCATGATTTTCCCATAAAAGGAAACTGGTCTATGTTGGGTGTACAGAACCAAGGAGCTACACCTGCTACATGAACTCTCCTCCGCAGACATTGTACCATATACCTTATTTCAGAAACGGTTAAGTATTTGGAGTCATTCGTTGCTTTGAATTAGGAAATTTTCGCAAGCCTCCATGTCTTCTTCTTGTTACTTGCAGCTGATATATCATATTGCCAACATAACTGAGGAATGGATTTATTGCCATCAGGGAGTGCATTTCCTCTTGCCTTACCAGAGTTTTTCGTATAAGCTCAATATAAGTGACAACTAGTGTAGCACAAAAGAGAGTTGACAAAATCTTTTGGCTAGGGACACATATGATTCTTTCATGCAGCCATTGATGTTGCAAGAACTTATAGGCGTTCTTTCTGAAAGCTTTGAAGATAAAATGAAGGTAAAGAGGTTTCATATTTCATGCTTTTTGCTACTCATTATTGAAAATATATAAAAAGGATGTTATATTCTAATCTTTGTTTTTACTGGTCAGGGAACAGTTGTTTGAAGGCCACAATTACAACAGTTTTTGAAGGACACCATATGAATTATATTGAATGCATCAATGTGGATTAATAAGTCAAACAGAAAGAATCTTTTATGTTACTATTTGGTAAAACCTGAGTAGATAATATCAAGATTCATCTTGTGCTCATTGATTTTATATAATTGGTAGGGATCTTCAGCATTGATGTCAAAGGCTGTCGGGATGTTTTATGCTTCTTTTGACAAATATGTGGAGGTGGAAGTCTTGAGGGCGATAACAAATATCATGTGAGCAACATGGGTTACAGGTGAGATAATTTTGAACATTGTGGACCTCAAGCTTTGGTAGATTTGAAATTGTCTCTAGGACCAATGAATATTAAGTCTTTGTTTTCAGATTTGTTTGACGAATAGATTTTCTTGCATTTTGGCAGCCTCATCTTGTTGCCCAGGAGTGGAGAGTTTCATTCACATGTCTGATCTTGTCATTTGCTTTGTTTCTTTTTTAAATGGAATAGCCACCCATTGGCAAGGCATTAACTGCTTCTCTTTTTCCTTCTAACTGGGTTCTGTTTTTAAATTGTTATTTGAACTGTTGACAAATTTTCTTTTTTTTGAAAATATTTGGTTAGATGCCATTTTAAAATTTGTTTGTTTAAGGTGAATTTCACATTTTCTTACTCATGAAAACTTCAAATACCTGAGCAACACTTTCAAAACTGCCTTTTAACAAACATCTAAATTGTTGTTTTTCTGGAAAAGTAGCTTCAATACTCCAATGTCAAACAGTCCTAACTTCTGCTTTCTTCTATTTTTTTTTTTTTTTTGTTTTTTGGAAAGTGCTTTCTTAGTTTTACTTATTTTGTGCTTCTGAATAGTGTTACTAATAACTTAGGTAATATATGGCTTTTTCAGGATCTAGGAGGGTGTCTGTTTATTGACTTCCCTCCTGTTCTCAACTTCAGCTGAACGGTTTGAGTTAATTGATTTTCATGCGGGATACCAATGGTAAAAAGGTAGTTTGTTTGACCAGGAAAACGGAAAACTTCCAAACAAAGATAACAAATTCTGCCTCAGAATTGAAATTTATTGAGTGTAGATTCTTTTATTGAATCAATGCTTACTAAATTATGTAAATTCAGTTGTTTCTTTATTTCATTTTTCAGTTGTGTATTGACAGTTGAGTCTTCGCATTTTCTCCTAGAATTTTCTGTTAGATTTTTAATCTAGGATGGCAGTTTTGCTTCTGGAGTTGCCCATAAATGGGTGAGGTGGGTTTTGATTCTAGAACCCAAAAAATTGGGCTTAGGTTTGGATGAAAATTGGATATCTAACCTGTCCAATATGTGATATACAATTTTTGAATTATGATATATCAAAGGGTAAATGGTTAAAGAACATGCCATATTAGCCTGAAATCCGATCCCAAAAAAAAAAAAAAAAAAAAAAAAACCGAGAAGAAATTAAAGGGGAAATCAGAGGATGGTTAAACATCTGCCTTGCCTAACATAAGCTCATAACCTACCCCACTTTTGAACCTGACATGGGTGGGTAATCATATTGTTGTAGTGGGTCAGGGTGTTTAGATTGATGTAAAAAAGTATGTGAAGCAGTAAAGATTCCACAAACAATCTAGACGAACTATACTAAGAGAGAGACGATAAGAGATTAATAAGGTATGGAGCAAGATGACATGGCAATATATTAAATCTAATAGAAGAGACACTACAACAGAATAACCTACTGATATAGACATATGTGTGACCAAGTCGTTGTTCAATATTATAAAAAATTTTATTATATTGGTAATTATTGGATTTGTTGATTGAGTGAGGCTCAGCCCGGTTAGTAAGAGATCCCCAACACCAACTTAGCATTGGTGGGCAGGCCTCAATTTGGCCCAGGGCTGGGGCAGAGTTTGGGACGAAATCCCTGGCTGTGTTAGTTGATAGAGGTTGCACGAGTAATAAGTAGTATATGAGAGAAAGCAGTTGGACAAGGAAAGTTGAGACGTCATTAGAAGGAAATAGAATAAAAGAAAACAGAGTTTATCTATTGTATGGCATCAGTATAGGGCCTAACTTAATTTCACCGCCGAAACTTTTCGGGGAGTAGTTTAATTCACTCTAAAATTGGACCTTGGTGTAGGACCTTAAGGGGTATCAAAGAGACTTATCACATAGTGCCAATTTAACCCCCTAATGCTTTTATGGTTGTTGGCAGATGTGGCACCCTAAAAGACAACACCCTAAACTTGTCAGGGTTTGTTTGCGATGTGCACCCTAAAAGTAAACTAGAGTCAGAATTTTGGATTAAAATAAAAAATGGATCCCATACCCCCAAAGTATTTTAAGAAGCAGATAAGAGTAATAAAATCAAAACCCGAAGTGTACATATAATTAAAAAAAAAAGAAATATAAAGATTGAGAGTTTGATTTTAAAATTGAACGCAATTTTAAGGAATGGCAAAAATAGATGAGTTGGGTATGTAAATCTCGAAGATTTAGGTGTAATTGCAACCTGAGGTTGATAAGGGTTCAGGGGTATGAAAGGGTCGATTTAGATTTAAAATTGCAACTACTCGAAAAGGTTTCGAGGAGTGATTATTGAAGGTGTAGGCCCATCAGTGTGTATCGTTAAAGTGTGGAAAATTGGTCACATATGATTGAAAGTGGATTCTTGTTGTTTCTACAGAAACCTTAGCATCTATTGTGTAGCCAAATTTATGTTTCACTTTAGCTGAAGTAGGGAATTACTTCACGGATTTGCATCAGAGTGTAGCTTTTAGTGGGATGATCTGTTCGCAGGCCATGGCTATGCTAAAGACGAGGCTGCCCCGCTAATCGAAGGAGAGGAATCTCTGCAATTGTTAGTTCTGTTCTTACTTCATCATCTAGGTGCAAAACCCGAGGACATCCACTTGTAAGGCCAGGTTAAAGCCTGTAAAGGTCAGATTATGGAGAGATTAGGCGTGAAGTCAATGATGTTTTCAAACACATTCGTCGCCAAAAAATTGCAAAAAGTCCTATTCTCCCCCCCATGAATATATGGTATACATATTGGCCAACACCCGCCACCTCCCCCGCCCCGCCCCCCCAAGGCGCAAAAAAAAAAAAGAAAAAAAAAATTGTTGCTTTCAATCTTGAAAAAAAAAAAAAAAAAATTTTGCTTTCAATCTTTTTTTTTTTCCCTACTATTTTTGTTCCACAACCATTTAAAGTCTACTTCATTTCTTATTTGGCTTAATATAAATACAGTAGTTTAGTACATGATAGTAGAGTTGTATAAAACAATTATCCAACATGTATATGTGCGTATTTTTTTGAGAAATTTGAAAAGTGAAAACAGAGGCTTCTTTTTATGAAGGTTAATTCCCTTTGTATTTGAATTTTTATTCAATGTGGGAGGTCAATCAAGCTAAATGATGCTTAAACATATATTTGCTTATCTAATTTGTATGTCTTTTCTTTTTTTTCTTTTTTTTTTTTTGTCATATTACAAGTATACATTTAATAAAAGTTTAAGAATCTGAAAATTTATTTGTCCCAAGGCAAGCTTATAAATGAGAGAGGTATCAAGTTTATAAAAACGTTTTTCTTTTCATCTTGTCTGTGAGTTTAAACAAGTTGAGAATCAAGTTTGGGATTGAGAGTTAATATTAAAAAGGTTTTAGTTGGCATTGTTATAGATGATTCTGCTAGTCTGCAGTTCTAATATCATGGTTTGAGCCAATAATCTAATTTAGGTACTTTTTAGCCTCTTTCTTGATGACAGAGGCCTGAAGCATTTGGTCCTAGATTTTCTAAAGCGTAAATTATGTGGCTCGTCAAATCAGCACTCTCAAAGGAATCAGAGCACATGATACCTCTATATAGACTACCTGTCAATTTAACTGGGCAATTGAATTGGGTAACTGCAAGCCTGCTTTGAAGTAATGGATGACTCATATGCGTTAGAGAAAGTCCTGATCTCGTCGAAAAGCATGTGTATGATATTTTGCCACATTTTTGTTAGATTGGATTTTGGATCACAGAATCTGATGGACAATTCTCTAATTGAACTTCTGTTAATCTAATTATTGATAGGATAGGAAATAGCAGACCCTTGAATAGAAATTAAATTCCTTTCATTCATTGACTAAGATTCCCCCCCCTGTACATGACAAATTCATATTGTTGTTCATTTCTTGTTGCTTTTACTTCATAAAGAGTAAAGGTTTAATCTTCTCAAATAAGTGCACACACTTGATTTGGTATTTTCTCTGTAATCAATTCTCTGTCATCTCATTAGCCAGCACGCGTGCCATATAAGAATGGATGAGAAGATCTATAAGAATATATGAGAATATCATTAATTTTCTTTCTCATTGAGGGAATGTAGTTCTTAAGTTCGTTTCATTTTTCTTTCCTTTAAGGTAATGTCTTTTCACTAAAATGTTGGTCATTTGTAGATTTATATGCTTCTTTTTACCAACAACTTGCATTCTCTATCTTTTTGGTTTGAGCTTCATTAATTTCATTGATGCTCTCCAGATAAATGATCGCTACGAGTTCCCTTTGCAACTTGATCTAGATAGAGAGGATGGTAAATATTTATCTCCTGAGGCAGATAGAAGCGTCCGCAACCTGTACACTCTTCACAGGTAAGAATTTGTGTTGTAAAAGAATCCGAGAGCAAATTTAACAAGGATAAAGATCATCTTTTACTTGTTAAACTGATCCACCAGTGAGAATAAATTGGAAAGTTAATAACATCAAGGATAGCAAATTGATGACATTCTATGCATATGGAGAGAAATTGATGTTACCTTTAGGTTAGTCTGTGAGAGAATCAGTGTGAAGCTGCACCAATAAATGTCGAACAAAAAAAAAAAAAAAAAAAAAAATAAAATGTCCGAACAAAAAAGAAAAAAAAAAAAAAAAACTCTAAATAATTATATTGTTTGAGGAGATGGAAAACATTGAATTGATAAAAAAAAAAAAAAAAAAAAAAAACTCTAAATAATTATATTGTTGAGGAGATGGAACATTGAATGAGAGCTTCAACAGGCAATAAACTTAAATACAAAGATCACAGATGGACAATCTTGAAGAGTTCCGTAGGAAGTCCAACATTTTCAAACAATAGATTAATTATGTTGCATTGGAGAAACCAATTAAGGCCTCGACAGTGTGGTCTGGTTTTATCATTACATGCAAATATAATAATAGTGCAACTGTCCAACACCTTGGTCCAGTGAATGACTTCATCCAACTTGTTCATATGCCTTTTATTCTTCATCCTTTTCCTTTCACTGTTTTCCAAATTGAATGCGTGCATAAATTTAATGCTTTGCATGTGTGGACTTTATCCCTGGGTGAAATGTTATCATACTGTCTGGTATCTGGAGTCGCTTAAAATTTTGTTTGCCTGTTGATATCTTTTTTGTTTGTTGGTTTGATTGTTTACCTGTCATGGTTCTGTCTTATAATGCTGATTACTTAAATTTTCTGCTGATTGATATCAACAGCATTTCTTTACTTTGCATTTTACTGATGCATTTTACTTTGCATGTGACATCTTTTTTTTTTTTTTTGCTGATGTATGTTGGGATAATAATCATGTGCTGCTGCTTTTTCCCAGTGTTTTAGTTCATAGTGGTGGTGTGCATGGTGGGCACTACTATGCGTATATCAGGCCAACTCTTTCAGATCAATGGTATGCATTGTGGTCCCTAAATTTAAGCTAGTTTCAGCAGAAACCTTTTCTTTTTTATTATCTGAAGCATTTACATTTAACTGTTTGTGTAATACTGTTGTTGAAATGAAGCTGATTTCTTTTGCTATGCCAATTTCTTTTATGGTTCATTTGAGTAGGTGTTCATTTGAATTAAAGTGGATTTGGAATTTTTTAGTGGAAAATAATACAACTTACTAATTCTAATTCAAATTCCAGTTCCTTTCAATGGACCCTTAGTTCATTCTATCTTTGTTTTATTCAATGTTGCTTGATGGCATGGCCTAAGCTAACTTGTGTGCTCGCTGGCATATTCTCTTAATGTTTTGGATGGATTTAAGTATTCATTCATGTAACTAGTGTGCTTGAACTTGCATTTCTGGGCATAATCTTTGGGAACTGTTCTTAAGTAATTATTTTTTATTTGGTATGAAGCCTTTAATTTTTTGAAATGTGTCATATGCCTTGGTTCTGTTTTTCTTTTTTGTAACTCCCTACTCATTAGAATTTATGGCATGTAGGTTTAAATTTGATGATGAGCGGGTAACAAAAGAGGATATGAAAAGGGCGCTAGAGGAGCAGTATGGTGGTGAGGAAGAGGTAACATTTTCGCATTGCTTTCTAGTTTTTTATTTGATTTCATACTTGTTTCAATTGACCCTTTTTGTTCCTTGCTTCTGTATGGCAGTTACCCCAGGCAAATCCTGGTTTCAACAACTCTCCCTTTAAGTTTACAAAATATTCAAATGCCTATATGCTTGTATATATACGTGAAAGTGACAAAGAAAAGATAATCTGTAATGTGGATGAGAAGGACATTGCAGAACATCTCAGGGTGAGATGATAACTTTTATCAGTGCATTTTTGATTTCTGATTGTTTAGTTAGTTGAATAATGTTTCATTGTACAAATGAAATATCACATTTCAGATAAGATTGAAGAAAGAGCAGGAAGAAAAAGAACAAAAGAGAAAGGAAAAAGCTGAGGCACATTTGTATACCATCATAAAGGTAACGACTCTCAAATTTTACTTTTTCCCAGTGCTCCCAAAACCCTATCGCCACCCTACTAATCCTGATTTTGACCTTTTATGTATCACCGATTTACAGGAATACCATTGATTATTTGTTGTTAAATGTCAAAATACATATCTTTGAACATTCATCAGTGATTTATTTATTCTATGCATTTAGGTTGCCCGCAATGAGGATCTCCTTGATCAGATTGGGAAGGACATATATTTTGATCTTGTGGATCATGACAAAGTTCGTAGTTTCCGTATCCAGAAGCAAATGCCCTTTAATCTTTTCAAGGTACCTCTTTGCTTTCCATTTGCATCCCCTGTTCCTGTTTTCCATTTATAACCTGGAGGTGCTGAGCCAACATTTATTGTTCAGAGTACGTAATTTTTGGTAGCTACTCTATGAGGGCGTTTAGTTCAGCTGATTCATGTAGCTGATAGTAGATTTGCACCCAACAACTAGGTCGTAGGTGTTTGGTAAGCTTTTTAGTTAGTAGCTAATAGCTGATAAAAGTCAAATAAGTTGCTGATTCCATCAGTTTTGCTTTGGAGTTTTTTCGTATTAGTTTGTAGCTGATTTTTATTTATATTATATTTGAATTTCATTAACCTCATAAAAATATTTGCTAATAAAATTATTTGTTTCAAGTTATATTATATTTTAACAGTAACCGTTACCAAAATTTTATCAAATACGAACATTCATCAGCTTACCGCTATCAATCATCATCCACTAGCTATCAGCTATTAGCTAGTATGAACCATTGAACCAAATGGGCCTTGTATAGCCCAAATCCTAATTGGGAAGATTTATAAGTGCAATACTCAGTTCGCAATGGCAAGAGGCTTCAATTTAATGGTCCAATGAAATCCTTGAAATGGATGCCTATGTCTTACATGTAGCCAATGTTCCTTATTTTGCTTTGTTCTTGTAGCCCTACTGTGCTTCTAATCATCAATGATATATACCTACAGGCAAATCAAACACATTCAAGTGCTTGATGCTTTTATAGGCATATCTGATGTAATTTCATATGTTCAGTTGATAACCTAGTTGTCTAGGTTTAATATTGAGAGAAATCAATTAATATAAAAAGCTAAAGCATGTTGGTTAGCAATAATAACAATTACTAAATAAAACCTCATATTGTGCCATCTTATTGTGGATTCTTGCCCATTGTAATGCACAAGTAAAAACATATTGGAAGCCTCAAAATCTACTGGCCTCTTGTTTAGTATAAATGAGGTTTCACAAAATTTTGTGAAATTCATTTCAGTTTTCAGTGTTTGATATGTTAAAAAAATTTCATTTCATTTCAACGAATTTAATTATGTGTAATTTAACATGACTAAACCAATTTCCACAAAAAATTGATGAAAATTGCAAAATGAATTCAACAAACAACAAGGACAACAACTAAGTCGTAATCCCAAACTAGTTGGGGTCAACAATATGAATCCTTTGTTTTCATATCAACTATGTTCAATTAAGCAATTAAAGCAAAGTATAAATGAACCCCACAAAATTTTGGAACAAAACATCTCTCTCTCTCTCTCCATCCCTCTTTTTCTTTCTTTCTTTTGTTTTTTTTAGTCTTGCAGCCTCTTTCTCTCACTTGCTTCTCTACTTAAATCTCTTTGTTTCTGTTGCACTCCTTGATTACTCGCAAGTATACGGATCGCAACGTAGTAATAAAAAGATCGATCCCACGAGGAACGGGTTATGTCCACTTTATTACTTATCCTTAACACTTATGTTTGCAGCAATAAAATATGAAATGATTAAACTATAATCCTATTTAAATTTAAGTTTAATATACTACTTAATTCTATAGATAAAATATAGTAGAATACTTAGAAGAATTGATCATGCATTAGATTTTCTTTTTCTATAGCAAAGCATGTAACATGCAATAAACAATTCTCTAATCACTAGGAATACTTAGAAGAATTGATCATGCATTAGCATTTCTTTTTCTATAGCAAAGCATTGTAACATGCAATAAACAATTCTCTAATCACAGGTGTTTCAAGTATAATTCAACATCTCTGGTACAAAAATTACTCTTTTTATTGTTATGTATCTCTACATACAACAAATACCTTAACTTTTGTTAGTATAATCGTTAGTATTACTATTGTAATTAATTGACTATACTATTGTAAGATAGCTGTAAATAACCATCAATTAGGGAAACTTAATTAAGGCTGTAAATGCTCAAACCATAATTAGGAGACAATTGGCATCAAGTAGGAGGACTATTAGGAGACATATTAGGCATCAATTAGGGAACCAATTAAGGCTGTAATTGCTAGCAATAATTAGGAGACAAATGGGCATCAATTAGGGCTGTAATTTAGGAATTTATTCCCAAATTTGTGGATACTTCAATTTATTTAAACCCAATCAGCTTGGGGGAATAAAAAAGCAAATTTCTATCAAAATTTCATTGAAATACAGCAAGTTTGTCATGGTATCACAGCCTAATTAGGCAATTTTAGAGCTATTCTTTTATGAGTTTTAGCTTTGTGTTTTTTTTAAGAACAAAGTGCAGATTCTGCTGTCTTTAATTCTGCAGTTTCTGTTTCTGCTTTCTTTGTTTAGTTCATATCTTTGATGAACTCTCGTTCATAGAAATTCCGAATTTCTATTTGGAGGTTCATAGGTTCTCTTCATTTGGAAGAGATTCTGGTAGACATTTTTCTGCAACTTTCTGGCTGTAGGATTTTCATCTTGGTGGGTCTGTTGCTTCTTCTAGTAGACCTGCTCCTGGTTGTGTTATTCCTAATTTTGCATTTCTGGTTTCCTTGTGCTATTTGAGATGGCCACATCAAACACAGTTGAGAGTTTTCATGTTCGCTTCACCGGAAAAAATTATTCTTCATGGGAATTTCAATTCCAGCTCTTTGTTACAGGAAAAGAACTGTTGGGCCATATAGATGGGCCATATAGATGGAAGTGATCCAGCTCTTAAAGATGCTAAGGAGTTGCTTCATTGGAAAGTTAGAGATGCAAGAGTAATGACATGGATTCTGGGGTCAGTTGACCCTCTTATTGCTTCTAATTTGAGGTCTTCTAAAACTGCAAAGGCCATGTGGGATTACTTGAAAAAGGTTTATAATCAAGACAATGCTGCAAGACATTTTCAATTGGAGAGCGATATTGCTAATTATTCCCAAGGAAATCTCTCCATTGAGGAATATTATTCTGGTTTTCAGAATTTATGGGCTGAGTTTACTGACACTATTTATGCTAAAGTACCTGCAGAATCTCTCTCTATACTTCAAGAAATTCATGAGCAAAGCAAAAGAGATCAATTCTTAATGAAGTTGAGGTCTGAATTCGAGACACTTCGCTCAAATTTAATGAGTCATGTTCCTTCACCTTCTTTAGATATTTGTTTTGGCGAATTACTTCGCGAAGAACAACATTTTCTCACTCAGAACTCTCTCCAACAAGAAAATACTGTAAGAAAATTACTGTCAGGTTGTTTTTGCTGCCCCAGGAAGAGGAAAGGGTCGGGACATCGAGTAGAATTCAATGTTATAACTGCAAAAATTATGGCCACCTTGCTGTCAATTGTGGGAAAGACAGTTCTTGTATTATTTTGCAACCCAGTCAGGACACTGGTCATAAAAGGAAGTGTCCGACCGGCCTCAAAATCGAAAAAATCGAATTGCTGCCCCAATTGCACCAAATAATCTCACTCATATTTGCTGCTCCCAACAGTTCTACATACTGCCCTATCAGCTGCTTGAACTGTGATTCTTACTCCAGAAATGTGCAACAAATGATTATTTAAGCCTTCTCCGCCTTAGGATTACAAAGGTACAGATACCTCCTCCTCCTCTCAACTTTGGCTTGTTGATTCTGCTGCTCAAATCCATATGAAAACAATCTAGCATGCTTACCAAAATGTTCGCAAATATCATGGTTTCTAACTACCAATGTTCGCAAATATCATGGTTCAACTGAAATTCAAATTGCAAATGGTAGTACAATACCTATTACTGAGATTGGAGATCTTAGACCATGTTTCAACAATGTTTTTATATCTCCAAAGCTCTCAACTAAGCTTCTTTTGGTTGGTCAGTTATGCATTTCTCTCGTAATGCTTATCTTGTGCAGGATCAGGCATCGGGGACAATAATCGCGAAGGGGCCTAAAGTTGGGAGACTCTTTCCATTACTATTTTCCGGTCCTCGTATCTCTTCATTTTGTACTACAGTTATTAGCAAAAGTGAACTATGGCATAGACGTTTAGGCGTTTAGGTCATCCTAATCCTGTTATTTCTTGTCTCATTTATCAAAGTTCTGGTTTCTGGGCAAGTAAAGAATTCCTGTGGCTGAAGGTTTCCTTTTGAATTGTTCCACATGTAGACTCGGTGTAAAAGCAAAACTCTTCCTTTTCCTTCTAATGGTAGTCGTGTTGTCCAATGTTTTGATATAATTCATAGTGATGTCTGGGGCATTACGCCCGTTATTTCTCATGCTCAATGCAAATACTTTATGACATTTATTGATGATTATAGTAGATATACATTGGTATACTTTCTTCATTCTAAATCTGATGTATATTTTGTTTGCAAGACCTTTTTGGCCTATGTTGAGACTCAGTTTTCTACTTGTATTAAAGTATTACGATCTGATTCTGGAGGAGAATATATGTCTCATGAATTTCAGAATTTTCCTCGTAAGAAAGGGATTGTCTCACAATGTTCATGTCCTTATACCGTTCTGGTCCTTTACAACAACAACAAATGGAGTTGCTGGCGTAAAAATCGTCATCTTTTGGATGTAACCCGAACTTTGTTAATTGGATCTTCAGTCCATCTAAGTTTTGGGTTAAGCCTTATCTACTGAACTTATCTAATTAATAGAATGCCTTCTCAGGTATTAAGTCTTGAAATCCCATATTTTCGTCTATATCAATCAATATCCTAATTATCATGATTTACACACATTTGTTGTGTTTGTTTTGTTCAATACTACCTTCTCATGACCGGTCATAAACTTTCCGCCAAATCTGTTAAATGTGCATTTATGGGTTATAATTCTTCTCAAAAAGGGTTTTGTTTTTGCTGATGATATCCACTTCTAAAGTTTGTGTTTCTCGCAATGTTATTTTCTTTGAGCATCAAAATATTTCTTTCCTAATCTTGGCTAAGTCTTCTTCTACTTCTTTCTTCCCATTCTTGCCAATTTTTTGAGGATTTGCCAATTGTTTCCTATCGGTTTCTTCCAATTTTTGAGGATTTACCAATTGTTCCTAATCGGTTTAAGCCTGGATTTGTGTATGAAAGACGTCAACCAACGGTGCCTCTTCCCGAGATTGATCCCTCATCTATGTCTGATTCTCCTGAATCTACTCTGCATCGATCTACCAGAGTATCCCGACCGCCAAGACGGTATGGTTTTTCTGATAATCCTACTGGATATTCTGCCACTTTATCTGATATTTTTATTCCATCTTGTTACTCACAAGCCTCCCAGAATGAACGTTGGCAAAAAGCCATGCAGGATGAACTTCAAGCTCTTCACGAAAATCATACATGGGACATTCTTCCTTGCCCTCCAAATGTTAAGCCCATTGGATGTAAATGGGTTTATTCAGTCAAGCGTCGTTCTGATGGAACTTTGGATCGATATAAAGCTCGATTGGTTGCTCTTGGCAATAAGCAAAAGTACAGAGTGGACTATGAGGAGACCTTTGCTCCAGTTGCAAAGATGACTACTGTCCGTACTATTATTGCAGTTGCTACTTCTTAGGATTGGCCTCTTCATCAAATGGATGTCAAAAATGCTTTTTTTCATGGTGATCTTAAAGAAGATATTTATATGACACTTCCACTGGGTTTAACTACCTCATCTTCAACACATGTGTGTAAGTTAAAAAAGTCTCTGTATGGACTCAAACAAGCTCCACGTGCCTGGTTTGACAAGTTTCGGTCTACCTTACTTCAGTTTTCATTTGTGCAAAGCAAATATGACTCCTCTTTGTTTCTTCACAAGTTCATAGAGTTCTTGCTGGTTTTTGTTCTACTCCTTGTTTATGTAGAGTGACATTATTATCACTCGGCTACTATACATCAACGATCCTCACTCTTTCACCAATTTCTTCAAATTCTTTAAACTATGAAGGATCTTTGGTCTTACATATTTCTTAGGGCTGGAAGTTCACCATGATTATTCTGGGATATTTTTGCATTAACACAAATATACTACATATTTGATTACGTCAACAGGACTTCAAGATTCATCCCCAGTTGATACTCCTTTGGAATTAAACGTCAAGTATCATATTCAAGACGGAGATCTTCTTCTTGATCCATCTCTTTATAGACAATTAGTTGGCAATTTGAATTATCTGACTATTACAAGGCCCGATATTTCTTTTACAGTTCGGCAAGTCAGTCAATTCATGAATACTTCACATCACTTACATCTGGTGACAGTTCGTCGAATCATTCGCTATATTCTTGGCACATCTTCTCGGGGTTTATTCTTTCCTACTGGCTCTCCTGTACGCCTTGTTGCTTACAGTTATGCTGATTGGGCTGGTTGTTCAGACACTCGACGCTCTATAATGTATGTTTCTTGGCGATTCTTTGATATCTTGGAAAAGTAAGAAACAAGACCGTGTTTCAAAATCTTCTACTGAGTCTGAATATCGGGCTATGTCCGCTGCTTGTTCCGAGATTGTTTGGTTACGTGGGTTACTTGCTGAAATTGGCTTTCCTCAGCCTCATTCTACTCCTCTACATGCTGATAACACTAGTACCATCCAAATTGCTACCAATCCAGTTTTTCATGAACGTACCAAACATATCGAAGTCGACTGTCATTCTATTCGAGAGGCAGTAGATACCGATGTCATTTCTCTTCCACATGTCTCCACTGCTCTTCAAATTGCTGATGTCTTCACAAAATCTATGACACGACAACGTCATCAATTTCTCGTTGGCAAATTGATGCTTCTTGATCGCCCAGCATCAATTTGAGGGGGGATGTTAGTATAATGTTAGTATACTATTGTATAAGTTAATTGACTATACTATTGTAAGATGCTGATAAATAACATCAATAGGGAAATAATTTAAGGCTTGTAAAATGTCAAACCATAATTAAGGACGACAATGGGAATAAAGTAGGAGACATATTAGGCATCAATTAGGGAGCCGAATTAGGATGTAATTGGCAGCCATGAAATTGGAGAAAGTGGGCATCAGTTAGGGCTGTAAATTTATAGGAATTTATTCCAATTATGTGATATTCCAGTCTTTTAAACCCAAATCACTTGTGGGAATAAACTAAGCAATTTTATCAAAATTCCATTTGAAATACAGGATTTTGTCAATTTATCAAATATTAAAATCCTAGTCTTATTACTTGATTATTTCAAATAAAGTTATGACTGTAACTGTTTGATAAAGAAGTTAAAGATTCACATGAATCCATCGAAATTGAAATTATTCTTTGATTTTTTACTAAATTTATTTCTTTCTGAGAATATAATTATGTAATCTTGATTAAGACAAAGATCCAAAATATAACTTAAAGATTTTATTGAATGAAACAAATAGTATTTGTTGCTTGATAGAAATAATGAAGCAAAATACAAAAAAGTACTTTAAATAAAACAGAGAAAGATAGAAGTATCGCACCTGAAGCTTCAGAGGGGTCACACTCGAGGAACTCCTTGATGTTCTTTGCACAACAATAATAATGTGACGTTCTGTCACTTATTTCTAGTATATTTATTAGTTTACTACTGTATTCTAAATTCTACCTGTTTTTTTTTTCTTTTTCTCTATATATCCTCTAATTTGATTACAATTTATAGAAAGATGGAGAGGATGTTGGTTATGATGGTGATTGGTTGGCAAAGGTGCTTTCAATGACTTTGTTGGGAAAGTTGTCGACTTTATGAAGGACATTGATTTGCTGTGAGAAAGGGTAGAGTTTGACTCTCTGGAAACGGATTCGGATCGCGAATTTAATGTCGCGCTCGCAATTTGACTGGCTAGAAAACTCCTTTCCATACTTAGTCAATTTTTTTATCTTTTTTCTTGAAAACAATCTTTTCCAATCTCTTTTGTTCAAATGCATTCCAAAACAACTTTAAACCAAAAACAACAAAAGAAAATGTAAAATTTATAAAAAAAAACACGTAATCATGCAAATCATGCGATTATAACTTAACAAATTTGCCCGCTTTGCAAGGCTATCAGTTTCTTAGGGTAATTTCAACAATATTGCATTGTTATAGGGGTATAATAATGCTTAGTTGTTAATATATTACTGAACTAGAAAATCCATATTTTCTTTGTTTGCCATTATCTTTTTTCTCTCAAAATTTTTCTTCTTTTTTCCTCTCATTCAAATGAGACTGTTTGAACTGCTAGATTTTTGAACTATATTGATTGTAGGTTTTTTTTGTTATACTTTTGCATATTTCACTGCATTATCAAGCTCAATAAATTAGAAATTATTTGTGCCATAGGCGACAATGCCATAAGCTTTTGATCGCCTTGCTGCCTATTGCCTTGAGTTTGTCTTTAGTTTTTGACCGGCTTGCCTTTGAGGTATATATGTTTAAATGTTTGGTTTTGTATGATGAGTTATTTTTAGACCATTTATATGATGCATAACTATCATTCCGTTCTATTATTATTAAGTTTCTTTGATATATTACAATTTGAATTTTCAAAGGGAAAACATGTATGAGTATTAGTAATGTCTAAGTCAATAATCATGTAAAGCAAATTCTTTATTAATTTGATCGGTTTCAGTTTTGCTTACTCTTACAGTATTTGCTTTATTTGTTTCCCATTTGTGCTTAATTGTTCTCAAGTTAATTAAGTAAATTAAAGATATTACATTACAAAATTAGCGACGAAGTTTAATTAAAGCTTCTACTCTTTTATTAACTTCTTGTTTATTGTTGATTCAAGTGATTTTGCTAGGCCCTTAAAAATTTCATGACAGAGGAAACAGATTCAAACTGATTTTGTGTCAATGTTAAGCATTGGTCAAATTACTAAAGTGATAGTGAATGAAAAGCATGTGTTAAATTATTATAATAAAACTACTGCTTCTTTTTAAAATAAATTTGATAGACATTTTCATATGGATTCACACATTTTGGGTCTGTTATACATTTTTTCAAATATTTTCTTTTGTAGGAAGAAGTTGCTATGCAATGCATGTGTCTGTATATACAGTCATTGATATTTGTTACGGTTAGATGAACATTTCTTATGAAAAGCTTCCCAAGACTTGTTTGGATGCAGTTTTTCTTTGTTCTATGCAATGCATGTGTCTGTATATACAGTCATTGATATTTGTTACGGTTAGATGAACATTTCTTATGAAAAGCTTCCCAAGACTTGTTTGGATGCAGTTTTTCTTTGTTCTATGCAATGCATGTGTCTGTATATACAGTCATTGATATTTGTTACGGTTAGATGAACATTTCTTATGAAAAGCTTCCCAAGACTTGTTTGGATGCAGTTTTTCTTTGTTCTATGCAATGCATGTGTCTGTATATACAGTCATTGATATTTGTTACGGTTAGATGAACATTTCTTATGAAAAGCTTCCCAAGACTTGTTTGGATGCAGTTTTTCTTTGTTCTATGCAATGCATGTGTCTGTATATACAGTCATTGATATTTGTTACGGTTAGATGAACATTTCTTATGAAAAGCTTCCCAAGACTTGTTTGGATGCAGTTTTTCTTTGTTCTATGCAATGCATGTGTCTGTATATACAGTCATTGATATTTGTTACGGTTAGATGAACATTTCTTATGAAAAGCTTCCCAAGACTTGTTTGGATGCAGTTTTTCTTTGTTCTATGCAATGCATGTGTCTGTATATACAGTCATTGATATTTGTTACGGTTAGATGAACATTTCTTATGAAAAGCTTCCCAAGACTTGTTTGGATGCAGTTTTTCTTTGTTCTATGCAATGCATGTGTCTGTATATACAGTAATTGATATTTGTTACGGTTAGATGATTTATTCTGAATATATATGCTGCTTGTGAGAGTGTAATTATAAGTTCACGTGTGCCCTTTTTGGTGATTTGAAACAATAAAATTGCATTGCAGGTTGGACAATTGAGAGAGGTTTCCAATAAAGCAAATAATGCCGAGCTAAAGCTGTTTCTGGAAGTTGAACTTGGACACGTATAATTGTTTAGCTGATGCCATTATTTATCTCTCTTTAGTGGTTTTTTAGATGAATACTATGAATTTTGTTTGGTTAATCCTTTAATGCTCATCACCATACTGAATTCAGGATTTGAGGCCTATCCCTCCACCTGAGAAGACTAAAGAGGATATTCTTCTTTTCTTTAAACTTTATGACCCTTTGAAAGAGGAGCTCCGGTAATGTCAATTTTCAGGTTATCTTGCTTGTATTGGAATTTAGTTTGTTAGGCTGACCTTATGCTATGACAGTTATGTTGGGAGGCTGTTTGTGAAGGGAAGTGGCAAGCCATTGGAGATTTTGACAAAGCTAAATGAAATGGCTGGCTTTACCTCTGATCAAGAGATTGAACTTTATGAGGTTTGTCATCCATATTTAGTTTGAAATATAATCATATTACCACTGCATCAACTGGTTATAGCATCAGTTATGGCCCTGAAAACATCTTAATTTATCCTCTTTTGTATAGGAAATAAAATTTGAACCTAATGTTATGTGTGAGCACATTGACAAGAAGCTCACATTTCGTGCTAGTCAGGTATGTAAAATAGTTTCTAATTGCAACTTTATTTTCTTTTTAAATTTCTTATTATAACAATTACTTTCACCATCTCTTTATCTTTTTCCTCATTGTGATCGGTTCTTATTGCAGCTTGAAGATGGAGATATTGTTTGCTTTCAGAAATCCGCTCAATTTAGAAGTGGTGAACAGTGCCGATACCCTGACGTACCTTCCTTTCTTGAATATGTGCATAATCGTCAGGTATGGCATGAAGAATTCTGATAAGGATTATAAGTTTTCCTACCATTTTGTATTATCATGGTTGGCAATTTTTTTTTCCTTGTTGCCAACCTTGCATTCTCTATAATTATATAATGATTGAAACTTCTGGTGAAGGCAAATCACATTGTTTCCTTGCTCTTATGGATAATTGAGGAATTAAAAATCAAATTTAAAAAATTAATGAATTCATTTGTTGGCCTTTGAAACTTTCCAGGATTCTTTACTTTTCTTAGGAGTATATTTGATGATGCAGTTAAATAAATTTATTATACGTATACGACAGTGGATTGGCTGGAAGGAGTGAATATTTGAAAGGAAAACATCACATTGTTTGATTACAATATTTGCAAGTATTAGCTAGTACAATATCAAAATGTGAATCTATATTAATTTCTAGCCTTATAATTAAGCCTGCTTATCTTCAGAAGAACATAAAAACCTAAACCTATAAATGGTTGAAAATTTAATCAGCCAATTAGTTTGGAATTGCCCTCATCGATTGGCTTCTATTATTTGTTTTCCTCATCAAACAAGGAAAAGAAAAAAAGAAATATTAAAGGTTTTGTTCAGTTAAATACATTAGTAAATTATAGTATTTAAATGAAGGTCTAATATTAGTTGAAACCATAATGCAAAATTCAATATTAGCTGATGCCATAATAAGAATTTTGTTTAGTTGATGCCACCATTGTTTGCTATAAGCTTTTCATTGGTTGGTCCTATTATGAGAATTATCCTTTTTAAAAAAAAAATTTTTAATGTTGTTCTATCACGAGGCATGTAAATAATAGTAACCTAATATTATATTAATGTCTTAAGCTCTTAACCTCCATATTGCAGATTGACGTAGGTATTGTATGATTCAAAAAGAGAAGATATATAGTGGTTAACTCTTACAACAATAAATATCTTTGAGTTCAAAACCATAAAGAATCGTGTTCAATCCATGTGTAAAAAAAACTGTTAAACAAATAAATTGAACCAGCGGATGGCTATGTGGAATTTTGATTTAATTTCTAATTAGAGACAAGTAACGATGGCACTAGGTTTTTGACAATTTACAAATGCCATTATATCTAATATTTGAATTTCTAAGTTATGCTAAATTGTTTTTGTATATAACATTCTGTTTTAAGTTAATTTGTGTATAACTTATGATGGGTAGGTGGTTCGCTTTCGATCTTTGGAGAAACCAAAGGAGGATGAATTTTGCCTTGAGCTGTAAGTTAATTTGTAGCATGTTCTTCTGGCTTATGTAGACTGATTGTTCCACATTTCGTTCTGTAATTCATTTACTTTGTAATAAAATTTTAGGTCAAAGCTTCATAATTATGACGATGTTGTGGAAAGAGTAGCATGCCATCTTGGCTTGGATGACCCATCCAAAATTAGGCTTACATCTCATAACTGTTATTCTCAGCAACCTAAACCCCAACCTATAAAGTACCGAGGAGTGGAGCATTTGTCTGACATGCTGGTTCACTACAACCAGGTATACCCAAGAAGTTTACATCTGTAGCAGTTATTGTTGCTTTGTTTCCGGACCGATGGCTGACATTAAATGGTTTCCTTGTGTTTTATAGACATCTGATATTCTATATTATGAAGTACTGGATATTCCTCTGCCAGAATTGCAAGGCTTGAAAACATTGAAAGTTGCTTTTCATCATGCGACCAAGGATGAGGTTAATGCAGATAATTGAAAGTATTTTTGCAAATATCATATTATTTATTTTCAAGTTTTTTGATTCATTGGAGCACTGCTATGTTCTTAGGTGATGATTCACACCATTAGATTGCCAAAACAGAGTACTGTGGGGGATGTTATCAATGACCTTAAAACAAAGGTAATTGTCACTTTGTGGTTCTCTTCAATTTTTTCGTTTTTGCTGCCTAATTTAGTTGACAACTTATACAAAAAATGCCTTGATTGGTAATAGCCAGTAACTTGCTCCCTATTATTATACAAATGATGTCTTAGAACCTACACTCCTTGTTTCAGTTTCTAAAAGCCTTTTTTGATTGTTTTTTCTCTTGTTGCCATTATGTCTTAATTGGAACAGGTTGAGTTATCTCATCCCAGTGCAGAACTTAGATTGCTTGAGGTTTTCTATCACAAGATTTACAAGGTATCAAGTGCTTTTCCGATATTGATGTCTGTTCTTAAACAAAATATTCCTTTGCAAAGATTTGAACTGTTTTCATTACCTAAAGTTAGCGGTGAGCAATCAGTCGGTTTAGTCAGTTATCGCATAGATCTATGACTGAACAGAGTTTTCAGAATTTATCACTGAACCAAAATGATCTATGTTGAGAACGGATAGCACTACAAACTGAGAAAATTTTTTTCAGTTAAATCTGTTTCTTTGTTTTTCATTTAAAGCTTAAATTTTCCAATACAGAATGAAAATATATAGCATTAAAATCATCAATCACCATCAATTGCAAACAGGGAAAACGAGTAAGTGTATGAATCAAGGAGAAAAAATCCACTGCAAATTAATTGATAAAATAAAAAAAAATAGATTGAGAATTCCTAAAAAGTAAGCTTCTGAGGAGGAAAATGAAATACTATTTCACTGATTTGTACAGGTTGATAACTTCTAGATCAACCACATCAATCAAATCTCCATCCAATTTTTGGCTTCCTTCTAGAATTAAAAGTAGACTATATATTTACAGGGAACAAAACAAAAGAGATGGCCTTTTTCTTGTAGACCAACAATATTAGAGAAATGAATTTTGAAAACCGAAATGAATACCAAAACTGAATTAAAAAAGAAAAAGCTGAACCAAATTATTTCGCTGTGGTTTGGTTTTCTGATTTTACCCAAATTATGATTGAGCCTACCTAAAGCAGTCTATTTGTTTGGGATTTTGAAGAAAGGGTTTCTGTTATTATTACTTCCGTATAATATGACAATGTGTCATTTTCTTTTGTTTGACTGCTTTCTGTTTCATTTGGAAATCTACCTACTTCATTTGCCAATGCTTTCATGTAGAAGTTTGTTTGCAAATGCTCCAAATGGACGGAAATTGAATGCTTTTAACTCTAAATGATTAACTATACTAACTAATGTGGAAATATTGTAATTGTTGGCAAATATCATTAAACATGTATGCTATATAATTTTAGGCTAACTTCGGAAACAAAATTTTACATGTAAGTGCAGATTGCATTTAAAAGCTTTTTGACACATAATGTTTCTATATTTTGACTTTCTGATTTCATATACTTCACTGTTCGTTTGGGTTTTGAAATGTTTTGTTCTACTAATTAATATGATTTTTTATATCATATATGTTAATCTTATGAGTGGTGAGAGTGATTTACATACAACTGTTCTTTGGAAAACTGTTCATCATAATTACATTGGATGTAAAATAATCTATATTAGACAAGAGACAACATGTGAACTAAATAACTAGTAAAAAAAATTCCAGCATTAGTATTTATCACAAATATCCATGCAAGGTTCATGGTAGAGAGCCAAGAGATGGTATGCAAGGGTGTTTCTACATGAACTCCTTTTTGAAGTGGTTAAGTAAGTTGGTTATCTAGGACTTCCTCTGCATCTTTTTTTTTTTCCTTGACTCTTCTGAAGTCAAGCGATGGTTCTCATTAATATCTGGTCCTGAATTAATATTTGAAGTTTCATTGATCAATTGGTTATTTATTATATTGCAGCTTACAGATAGATTTAATTGGCTTTTCTCGAATTTTTGCTCTATGTATGCTTTTGGGATGTTGTGTTTAACCAACTGTTTGTTTTCAGATCTTTCCGCACAGTGAAAAAATTGAGAATATTAATGATCAGTACTGGACATTACGCGCAGAGGAGGTCTCTCTCTCTCATTCTCTCTATCCTTCCATCTGTCTGTCTATCTATTTACATGTGTATGTGTGGAGCTGAATTTTCAATGCTGAAATTTTAAATATAAATGGGGTAAACATATTGTGGATGGATATTTGAATGGTGAGTTTGATGATTAGAACTACCCAAGCTGAGATCTCCCTGTCTTGTTGTATGCTCAAGCTTCAGTTAATCATGGAGAAAAAATAAAAAGAAATGTGTTGCTTAACTGTTTTTTTTATTGGACTTTTAAGCATTCAAATGTATTTTGATGACTAGTTTATTTAATAAAATATATAGAATAAACCATGTTTCGTTAGAATCTTTAAGAGAAACTTAGAATTACTATAAAGAGAGATCAAGTTAGACATAAGATACTTGTCAATTTTGCTGAGGTGAATTTGTGAAAGTGTTGTCTATTTTCCTTATTTTCTGTTTTTTTAAGCTAATTTTCTGAAAATTTCATTTATTCGCCACATTGCCCTTGTGAGTTTGACTTGGTATTACTTGTTGCCTCAGATTCCAGAGGAGGAGAAAAACCTTGGCCCTAATGATCGTTTGATTCATGTTTATCATTTCATGAAAGATCCTGCTCAGAACCAGGTGGTATAATTTTATTGTCTTTGTTTCTGTTGCCATTTTTATCATTCATTTTTACTGTTGATGTTTATCGTTCACATCCGAACTTGAGCTCCTTATAATTTGTAATAGCTATTTACAATTTGTTTCTGTTAAAATGTAGCAGCAGGTACAGAACTTTGGGGAACCTTTTTTCTTAGTCATTCATGAGGGGGAGACTCTTGCTGAAGTTAAATTGCGGATTCAGAGAAAATTGCAGGTTCCTGATGAGGAGTTCACTAAGGTACTTATTTTAATATATGAATTATTACCGTCTTGTTTGGGCAGCTAATTTTATTTTATTTTATTATTTTTTGCTCTTTCATTGTGTTTTCTGGGGTTTTGTCTAGGTATTCATGGTATTACTTTTTAACAAACTCCTCTAATCAATGCTCTCTATTTAAAAACAAAGTTTTGCTGACGCGAGTTTTTGTGGCATTCTTTTGTGCTCAGTGGAAATTTGCATTTTTGTCACTGGGTCGTCCGGAGTACCTCCAAGACTCTGATATTGTATCCAGTCGATTTCAGGTCTCTTTGTCTCTCTTTCTCTCAGACATGCATTGCAGGAGCAGTTCTCACCCACCTTTAAGTTTCATTGGGCATAATGAATGTGTATTTATCTGACTGTTATTTCTTTTTATTTTTCCTTTTTAATTTGTTCAAGAGAAGGGATGTCTATGGTGCTTGGGAGCAGTATCTTGGACTGGAGCACTCTGACAATGCTCCTAAAAGGTCATATGCAGCTAACCAGGTAATCAACTGTCCTGGAAAGTATTTAAGATAATAATAGTACAAGGACACAGTTTCCTAACCTTCACCTTACTTTTTTTTTTTCAGAACCGGCACTCATTTGAGAAGCCAGTGAAAATCTACAATTAGGAAAGAAAGATGAGCCGAAACGAGTCTCTTTGGATGGAAATGAGAGAAGCATGTAATCAGAGCGAATTGTTAGTTGTGTTAGATGTGTAATTCTTTGGTTTAGTGCAGGGAGGACTTTGGGAAAAGACCTCTATAGTTTTGACTTCTCTCTCGCGCCTGTTTCAGGTGAAATAGATAGTGTTTAATCCTTAAAATTCGATTGTATTCTAGTACATAAGATTTTGTTGTGGGGGATGTATAGCGGGTATAGGTGTGTGTACTCTTTATTTTAATCATTTTTAATTGATTTGTCTTTTTTCCAATCGACAATGTGGATTTTCATTAGCTGGTGTTAGAGAAAGGTGAAAAGTTGCTGTATAATATTAAATGATTTCTAGGAGGCTATGAAATGCATAACCAATTCAATATCTGGTCATGTTTTGTTTCATTTTTATTCATGCTTTTTTTGGATTCTTCCAGAGGTTTTTGTGCTTTAAAGAGGGTAGTTGGAAATTGCAAACTAGAGTTACTTCCTCTGGGTATGATAGAAAATGCGAGAAATTGATGATTATTACTGGAAAATTTTCCGACTGAAAAAACGTAATTAATACCACTAAGTTCGGTAGAAAGGGGTATTTAAATTATTTATATGAGCAAAATTAATGATTTTGGACAATAAAAATTTAAAATTGAATCAAATTCTAAATTTTAAGTTGTATGTATTTTGAATGGTTTTGATATTGAAATTTATAAATTTAACTAAGGACCTTAATTTGCAGTTTTCAAATTAAATAAAACCATTAATTTCTCAGCGTGAATACTAAAAGACAGATGACCAATACAACAATTCTGAATAAACGAAATAAATAGAAACAACACGTATGAAACCAGAGCGTTATTAGACCGTGTTGACAGCTTTTTGAGTAATTTTTATCATTTTAATTGATAAAATGTAAAATGATATTTTTTTATAATGTACGGTAACGAAACTGCCTTTTATAAAAAATTAAAAAAATAATTATTTAGCCCTTAAAATTTTTACAAAATTAATTTTTTTATCATTGTATTTTTATATATTAAATATTTAGACCGAGACGTTGATTCCGTCTAATCGAGAGAGGTCCTTCCATCCGAAATCCATGATTTTTGTCATTAGAAGAGTACAAAAAGACAAAAATAGAGGACATAGAATAATTTTTTCAATGACCAAAGGTGCCTTAATGAAAAAAACAAGAGGAAAATATTATAAATAAAGTAAAAGAGATTTTATTGGAACCGAAAACTTCATTTGCAATCTTGGATCGCTCCTCCCACCAGCAGCATCTTTTCTATCATATTCCGGCCAATCAACTGGCAAAGATTGACGTTAGGACCTACAATTCTCATTGATTACTAGAAGGACCGTTCCTGAAATTTCGAACCCTTTTCTTTTCATTCTCTCTCAAACTAGCGACATGCTTCACATTACCCATTCTGACCGGCCAAGTTCTTGCCGGAAATCATAAAAGCAAATTGTTTGATTTCACATTAGCGATTTTCACTTCGCCTCTCTCTATTGCGATTGTCTTATCTTCTCTCTCTCATTCTTCTCCTATTTTCATTCTTCAGATGAGTTTTCTTGCTAATTTTTTTTTTCTTTTTTCGTTTTTTCTGTTACTAAATTTTTTTTTTGTTTGACTATCTTATTTAAGCTTTTGTATTCAAAAATATCTTCTTCTGGGTTGGTGCAATTTTGGTTTACCTAAATTAAGAATTGATTCAAGTTTTGCTCACTTTTTGTAATTTATGAAATTCTAGTCAAACAAATACGGGGGCTTGCAATTTGTTTTTTCAAATTTACAGCTGGTTCTGAAAATTTTACTGTCATCCTCTATTTAAACTGATTATTTGTTGTTATTAATTGTGGCTCATTATTGTTATTTGTTAGTATTATGTTTTTTCTGAACTCTTTTGTTTATTCATTTTGAGATTTATTAAATTACATTTCAAAATCCAACTCATTTATTTGTTTGTGAATCTCTGAAACTAAATGGAAATTCTCAGTTATATAGGTTATTTGCAAAATCAGCTCTCTTGAATTCTTGAAAAAACATCTTCTTTGGGCATATTTTGATAAGTTAAACTTCATAAATCAGTTTTTAAAACTGAATTTTTGCGAATCCTGTTTAATCTTCTTTTAACAGGCGAAGGGTTTTGTTCTTTCTTTTCAATGGTAATTTTGTCTTTTCACACTCTTTCACGGCAAAAATTATGGATTTCGAATGAAAAGACCTCTTAAAAATACATAAAAATACATAAATAATTAATTTTGTAATACGGTAATTTTGTAAATCTCTAATACAGAAAAGTTACTCAAACAGTTAATTTTGTCTTTATGTAATTACGAGGACGAGAAAATTATGTAATTACGGTAATTTTGTCTTTATGTATTAAATCTCTAATACATAAAAATATGAGGACGAGAAAATTAATTTTGTAAAACCTCAGGGATTAAATAATTATTTTTTAAAAAAATTAATTAACTCATATAACATTTAACTTTTAGCATTTTATGAAAAGTTACTCAAGCAGTTAACAGCTAAATGCTAAATAGCTAACAGCTATCAAAACAGTTAATTTTGTCGAACAGAACCCTTAGATATTGACTAAATCAAAAAACTAGGTGAATTCATACAACTATTAAAAATATATGTTAAATAACCATTGCTAACTTGAAATAATTGTAAATTGCTTGTAATTTTTTTTTTAGGGGAACTTGCAAATCTAATTATAGATTCATAAATATAATCTAATATAAAATTAAAATTATTAAAACGAGAATACAAGTTTAATAAAACAATAGTTAAATTCAAATACTAAAACTTCAATCCAAATATCAATATCTGAAATAGCATTACAAACTAAATGTGAATTGCTATGAACTTATTGGACAAAAAAAGGACCAAAATGTGAAAAAATTGGGTGAAACATGTTGTGTACATGTCGCTTTTAATCTCAAAATTTGATTAGTCCTGATCTTGTGAGTTTGTGCAGGTCAAATGGTTTAACTTTTTGACCATGATTCAACCAATTCATTCTAATTTTCTTTCTTAAGTAATTTAAGTAAAACTAGATTGATTTTAAGTCTGATTCACTAATTCTTCGAGTCGATTCAACGAGTCAGGTTTGATAATGCTAGATAAAAGTCAATTTCTTGCAAACAGAAAAAAATAGCCATAATTAAATGTTTTAAAATTTGGTAAAAATTGCACATTTCATTTTATATAGTTATCTATGGGCCCCCAAGCCACGTGCACTTGTATATAATAAGTGTAGAATACAGGCAAAGGGTTGTAATATCATGGAAGTTCAATGACAAAGATGTGTCACTGTATATTGAAAAGGAGGTTTTTTAAGTAGAGTTGGTTGGTGCAAAGCTTCCAACGAACGGCTTGGGGAACAAAAGAGAAGAAACTTTGGGTTTAAAACTTGAGTTTGAAAATTTTCAAAAATCATAGAGTAGAGAGTGAAAAAATTTAGTGTTGTTCTAAGATATTGGCTGAGTGAAGGAAGTGGAGGTTTAGAAGCAGGTCGGCATTCTCAGCAAGAGCTTCAGTTAAGCTTAGAATGGAAATGCACTTGTGTTCATATGTTTGCTGATTCAGAATGCACTCGTGTTCATATCTTAGTGATGAATATTAGATTTAAATTTGAGCATAACTCTGTGTTAGGCATAGTATTTTCTATAATTGTCCAGCAAAGCAATTAAGAATTTAAGCTCTTGCTCTTACTGATAAATGTTAGTCATTTTATATGCTTGTTGTTATTGTTACAGGGTACAGTATATGTTTGCTGTTATTGTAGGAGGGTCGATTATATGGATGTTGTATATAAGTCTTGAATTGAAAGCTAACATCTTGCTTTAAGATCCAACACCCCTTGAAAACTAAACAATAGAATTTCCTTTTAAACATACTTTTTGAGCTTCATAAATGCTTCTTGGATCTCCTCTTGTTACATTCAGGACTATCATACAACTTCGGAGAAGTGATTTTTTTGGCTATGGCTTTTAGATCTTAAAAATCAGACTTTGAACTTATTGTTTCCTTTCAGCTTCAGCAACAATTGGAAATCTACCCTGACCTTATAATCTTGCAAGAACTCTTTCAGGCCAATCAATTCCAGGAACCCAATGTTGTCGACCTCAACATACACCTTATATTTGTTCCACTGCCTCACATATATCCAGCAATCAGACTCAATACTTTGATCATGAATTTGCGAGAATTTCACCGACAATTTCTATAATATTTAGGATACACTAGTTAGTAATAGAAAGACATGAATCACTAATTTGCTTTATTAGAAGGGAATGAACAAAAAACGCTATTGACTCATTGAGAACAATGGGTGTGATAGTCACGAGCATCTATTTGCATTCATATTTCTGGACACATTTTAAGATTAAAAAACAAGTTTAGTTGGGTTTACAGTATTATCAGTGATTGCGAAAAAATAAGAGCAATGTTTCCTAATATAAGCCTAACAATAACAAAGTCATACTCAAAAATGATCTTGTACATGAGAAAGAAGAAACAGAAATGTAAGTCTAATATTATTGAAAACCGCATACAAGGGTAATGTATATCGAAAGCTCCAATAAGTTTTATATCTAATACAAGCCTACTGCCCTTTTAAAGTGAAGATTCAATAGCAAAATGTTTATCTAAAATAAGCCTCTAATATCAAATATAAGTCTTTAACAACAAAGTTATATTATCCAAAGCTCTAATACACTACAAGAAAATAATTATCGGTATTTATCGACAAAATACCATTCAAATATCGACTAAATTCAATTTATTGAAAAATAAAATTTTTTAAAAATATCATGACAAAATTTTGTAGGCATTTTGCAGCTAAATAGCAACAAAATATTTTTTGTCGCAAATATGTTGGTATTTTACTTTCCAAAAATTACCCCCAGTATTTAACGACCATTTATCGACAAATCAGCGAGAATTTTTTTTAAAATTACCGGCAAAATATTGTTGGTATTTTTATACCGTCTATATAGCGACAACTGATTTTGTCGGTAACTTTGGGGATGAAAGTAATTTTTTAGGGTTAATTTCTAATTTCCTATTTCCCCTCCATTTCTCTCCCTCTCAATCGTTCTTCTTCTTCTTCTTCTTCTCCACAGTCTTGCTCTTGCTCTCCAACTCTATCTTGAGCTCCAACGGAAAGGTAATTTAATTTTCGCTTCCTTTTCTTCTTACCTTGATTTCTTGTTTCCATCTCTTACTTCCTTCAAGTCTCCGTGTGTATATTGTTTGTCTTTACCACTGATCAAACATAGTTCATTTAATTCTAGCTTAGTGCTTCTCTACAATTTGTCCACTCAAACTGAGATTTTGTTAGCTCATGGTGAGCATTATGATTCAAGTATA